GGGCAGGAGCCGGGCCCGGCAGCGGCAAGCCGCGGCAAGTCGCCCGGGGCCCGCGGGAGCCCGGGGTTGGGGTGAGTCAGCCGCGCTTCCTCCGCGGATCTGGGTCAGGGGTGCGCAGACGTTTTCGTGCCATCGGCCGCACCTCCGACAGGGCCCCGATAACGATCTTTCCCCGCGGGAGCTGGCGAAGGGGTGTTAACCCCTCTGCTGCGGGCTCCGGGGAGCCGTGGCCGTGGCCAGGGGCTGCGCGGGGGCTCGGCACGGCCGCGGCAGGCGGGGGGGATTATCTAAATCCACCCGGTCGGGGCAACGCATAGAAACGGGAACAAAGGAATTAATAAATTAACTTTCCCCGTGAGACTCCCTGAACGACTGTATTGGTACAAAAAAAAAGCCTTCTGAGCTTGCCAGCTTGCAACCTACCTTCACTGCCTCTGCCGTGAGCCTCGGGACTTCTTATTCAGCGTTTTGAGACACCTGCAAGGGAGCTTGCTCTTGGAAGGAAAAAAAAAAGAAAATCTTGGGTGAAGCAAGTTTCTAATCGAGGGGTAAATAAAGTGAGGGGAACTGCCCTTTATTTATAATGCCTGCACCAATCTTCCATCAATTATTTTCCGCATACAGCTTATTATAGGATTAGATGCAGCTTCGTATCAGGTTACTTAAGTGCTTGTTTCAAAAGAGTAAAAGTGAGATAATGCTTATTATTTTCATTCATAATCGTTAATAAGCATAAATCGTTGCGCTTCCCATTTTACTGGGCAGGGAAGTGAAGGTGGAAGGCACGTAATCAAGGCTTTTGCAAGAAAAGAGCAGCAGAACCAGAGCTAGAATCCAGGCCTTGTCCCTCCCTCTGCAGCACGCCTGCTCCCGGAGCGACGGTGCCAACACACTCCACTTCTCAGAGCTGTTTTCCACTCTAGATTGAAGATTCACCATTTCTCCTAACAACTTTCTGCTCAATATCCTTTTATATAAGACTCAACCCAAGTTTTCTTGTTACAAAGTACCTTCCTCCACCCTTCGTACCAGAGTTTTAGCTACAAATAACTTCAGGGTTATTTGTGCAGCTCCCAACCAGTTTACTCTGGTTAATGACTTCTCCCAAAGCACTGAAAGCCACTGGCTTCACCTCAGGCCATTCAAAACCTTATGGTTAAGTACTAAGGGCTCGATCCTTCTGAAGCGATGCTTTAATCCATGCTTTAATCCACACACTCGTGCATCTCCACTTGCTTCACTCGCTGTGTCATCAGGAGAGTTTCAAAACAGGTCTAGCACAAAGATGCATTTTATTACCTAGGACTAATTTCCAGAAATCTCTTCAGTAACTTTTTTTCCCTGTCCCGGTTGGTCAGAACTTTACCGAGGTGACAGCAAGCTCTGCTGTCTGCAAAGGCAGGAGCCAGTGGTCCCAAATGCTGGAACATCCATTTTCTCCTTTATGTTTCAAGCGTGCAATAAGCTAAATAAGAGCAAAAATACTTGACAAAAGAAAACATCGTCGCTTGTGCTGCAGGCTGGCATCTTAATTTTGCTTTGTCAGCTCACAGCGAGCCTCTACGCAGTAAAATACAAAGAGGATCTACTCTGGATGTGTCTCCAGATCTATCAGGCAAGTACCAAAACTTTTGTACTTCTTGCTAACACATTTTAGATGTTTCACGTGGAGTTTTGCCACTGGGTATCTCCTCTGCAAGGAACCTGCTTCAGGGGAGATCCGAGTCAGCCCCAAGAGCAGATGAACAAGGCAGGACAGAGGGAAGGAGACAACAACTCAGTTTATGCCAGACACAGTTTTTTTCTGAGGATGGAACTGCACGTAACCAGGGTGAGGAGATTGGAGGGTCAGCAGAGCCGAGGCTTGTCGAGAGGAAGCTGCCATTTGGGTTTAAATTTTCATCTAGTAACTTGTTGGAACAGAACCTACTCGGCTTCGGTGGTGAAATTCGAGGGACTAGTTGAGCAGCTCAAGCGACTGTCTGCAGTTAAGTCTTAAAATTTTTAGTTTTGTCAAAATTTCACTTTCAGACAAATTAATTCAGCAGTTTTCTTCTTCCTTTTAAATTTAAGCTGCAAATGTAAAAATACCTGCCAGAAAATTTTGGGATAAAAGACACAAAAAGCAATCTTCCGTTAAACCAGATCCCATTTGTGAAGGTCAACATCGTTCGTGACTGCACGACTGCAGTGAGAAATACTCCTGTTCTAGACCAAGTAAGAGAAATTCCAGGTGTTTGCCTGATCCACAAAAGTCTTGTTTCACCCCAGACAGCTGCCAGGGTTGCAGCCATCTCCTGAGCTGGTTCAGAGCCACCCTCAGCCATCTCCAGGGTGCGAAGGCGAGTGCTCAGGTGGACATTTGCAAGCAGGAAATTCTGGTTCTCGTTGCAGGCAGGAGCCCTCAGCCAAGCTGCAGGCAGAGCACAATCCACTTCCACTCCCCCCCTGCCCCCCAGCACCTTAAACAGCTTCTAAGGCTGGGCTGGACCAGGCGGTAACTCACTGTGGCCACCTAAAACGTGTCTTTTTGTAGGCAGGAGCGCCTGCAGGTCAACTAAAGGAATTAGTATTCTACAAACTGCTAGAAGAAGTAAAATTAAACTTTATTTAAAAATTCTTCTAATATAGAAAACGAGAGGAAACCAAGGCAACAAAGTGCTGCCCCCGGTTCCGCCTCATTACATGAGTTACTGTATTTACAGCTTCGGGAAGGAGCACGGGCAGAGGGTACGCGTCCTGCTACTTATGGAGAACTACAGACACTTAACAATACATTGTACAAACCTGACATAACATTTAAAGGTTCACTGCAGGAAAACAATTAAATACACTTGCTAAGACAGACAGTAGAAGAGCACAGACGGGTGTTATTTCATCCTGATTTCTCCAAGTGTTCTGTACAGCCTGAACTACCGACACACGATTTCCTTCTCATTTCTCACCCCTGTGGCAAGAACTGCCGTACATTCCGGAGATGAGTTTATTCAGCGTGGAGAGGTCAGTAATCTCTGAAGGGAAATGGGACATTACTGAGCTCCTGTCATCATTTTACTTTCGGGCGTAATTTGGAAAAACCTGAATAAAATCAAAGCAGTGAAGCAACATGGAATACATGGTGCTGAACTCCACGTGTCCACAGGCAGCTTTGCAGCGGGAGGCCCTGACATTGATAGAATGTTGATTCTCGCTCCTGGTGTAACAGTGAGTGCACAGATGGGATGACGGGGGATGAAGTCCACAATTATTTTATTTTTTTTTTTAAATTCCCCAGCCGCCAGATTGATCTAGATTTCCTGTGTACGTGGGCCTTTCTGATGTTCATAGTGTAGGAAATGAAATACAACAGGCAAACACTTCAGACTGCATTCTCTATACATATATAAGTTTTTACACTATCTACAAAACAGTGATTAGATGCTTCTGTGTAAGTTCTTGCTACTCATTTAAAAATACTAGAGAAAAAACTGTACAGTTCTCTAAATTACATCTTTAGAAGAATAATTTTTTTTTTAGAAGTTCATAAAAGACTTCATGTTTGTTTCTATAGAGAATTAAATGATTGGACAAGAAAGATTAGAAATAGGTTGTTCAAATCAAGTTAGACAGACCAAGCACTTAACAGAACATTATTTGTAAACTGTAAACTTCTAGTTTTCTGTTCAACTTTACATACGCATTCAAAAATTAGGAAGAACTTCAGTTATGAGGTCCTTGTTTTAATCTCTGCTACATACAAAAGATACTGAAAAGCAAAAACTATTAAATAATTTAATATACAAGTGTAGTTAAAAAGCACTGTACATTGTAACAAATGTACATTGAATTTTAGAGATAGAAAATCACCGAGTTATTTTCAAATTTACAGGATTTGTGAAATTCTGTGATGGGAAGAGGACTCTGGAAATGGAGCAGAGTTCTGGCCTCCCCAGGGCTGCAGGGGAGCACGGCCGAGTGCGGTTCTGCACAAAAGCAAAGCCCAGGCCAACCTGCCTCGTCACAGAGGGGATCCTGGGTTGTTCCTCCTGACAATTACCAGTTCAGCTCCCACATTCCGCAAAGGGTTCCTGTTCAGACCTGAGCACACTTCCATCAGAAGCAAGCAGGCAGCTTTCTCTCAAGTACTTCCTTCCCTCCGAGGACAGACCGGCAAAGGAGCCGAGCCACAGAGCAGCCTGGTCCGCACACAAGTGCCAGCAAGGAAACTGCCACTGCAGATCCCTCTCCCCCAACACAAGCCCTGCAGGTCCTCGAGCAGCAGGAGAAGGTCAGGAGATGCAGCTACCTGGACATCTCACTTGCTGCAAAGTGCTTTTCATAAACTTAGCCCAAACCACAGCTCTCTAGAGTTGGGATTTTTTTTTTCTTTTTTTTTTTTTAATATTGCCTTATAGAAGCAGCACTTTTGGCCAACATTTAAAGCAATTCATAGTTGCGATGAGCATGTAATCAGTTAAATAACAGCCTCAGGTTGGATGATAAAAGACTAAAAAAAAAAGAGAATGTTTGGATGACCTGAATGGGACTCTAGCAGATTTTAAAGTAGATGTTTTTCAGTTACTAGGCATTCCTCAGCTACGAGAAAATTTAGGCGCTTAAAACCAGGTACTGAGTCCTTGCAACTCAGCGACTTCTGGAGGGAGCAGCCAAAGTGAGATACTGCTTCCCATACACACACACAAAAAAAAAAAAAGGGAAAGACTTAAAAAACAGTCCCTGGGGTAGCGATATTCCCGAGGTAGGATTTACCCGATCGCTCCCGATCGGAATCCGAGCACATGCCAGCTGTTGAGCTTATGAAGTTCTAACAGATCCCTGCGGCCAAGCCAAGGAGGAGTGAATGCTCCTCCTCCTCCTCTCGCCACGACTCTGGGCCACCATGGGCACAGGCTCCTGCCCCGGCCCCAGGAATGTCACAGCAGGGCAGGGGCAGCTCCGGGGCCGGAGCCTCCGAGGGGACAGGAGGTGGCGAGAGCCGGGTGGTGACACCCAGCACGGTCTCAGTGAGCGAGAGATGCAGGATGGGACCCATCTGTGTGGATTCTCCCTGTATTTGGTACCTCCAAATACCCTGTACACTAACTCACACACTTCTTCCTTTTTTTTTTTTTAGTTTTAAGAGAGACTAAACAGCACTGATTTTTTTTCTTGCAAACCCAGTAATGAGACTCTCTCCCTACACCAATACTGAGGCCGTGTTTTCCCCAGTGGAGACTGAACAAGGCCTAAAATACACATGGCTTCTGCAAGAGTACATGTCTGAGAACAGGACCTAAACCGGCACTGCATGTCCAGTAGAGGAAAAATAAAATCATATTTGGTAACTGGACAAGCACTTGTCCTCTTAATATCATTTAGTGGTAAAAACTGAGGGGTTTGATTTAGAAAAAGCGAGCGTGTCCAAGCAGTTGCTAGACAGAAGACTTTGAAAAAGAACTGACCACTGGGGGTTGGACTAGATGATCTTTAAGGTCCCTTCCAACCCAAACCAATGATTCAAGCCAGATTTCACAGTATTCCTTCTGCAGTAAGTTTTAAAGGTTTGAAGAGGTCAAATATTTCCTCTAAAATTTTCTCCTCCTCCCTCAGAAAAGAAGCAATCACAGAAAGCCCTAAACAAGTGATTTTTCTTGCAGACTCCTTTTCCCTACCCCTTTTAATTTGGGAGATGAATATGCAGAGCTACCAAGAGAGAAAAAGACCTTTATTCAACCCCATGAACCTCACAAGCTTTACATGGCACTGAACGGACTGGCACAGATCCTTGCTATAAAGCTGCTGCTGCTGCTTCATGGAATTAACAACTCTCACACTGTTTTCTGCAGAACGAACTTGGGCCTCGTCTCCCCTGTTCTAAGGCAGCTGCCGAGGCACAGGCAAACGCAGTGAGAATTCACAGCTGAAGAGTTCAAAACACTGAGACAGAACAGGAAAGCTAACACAGAAAAGTTTGGAAACGTGAAGTTTTTGCCAAGGGCAAGACTATAGTTTTTATCATAAGCCTCTGGCTTATATCGGATTTGGGTTTTAACCACCTAGTTTAACTCTGACTTGTAAAAATCATTAAGGCACAGATGCTGCCTTCCCTTGGTGAGGCTGCAGTAAAGATGCAAAACGCCGTTTCCCAGCTGCTTGGCCAACACAGGACTAGGCAGGAGGATGAGAACTTTCCTTACAAATCACACCAAGTGGCAGAGATGGAGAGAGCTGTGGTTCTGCCTGCCCCTGGGCGGGCCCAGGCATCAGGAAAAGAACCCTCCCAGGGATGAAGTGGTGGCACGTTGTCCCACACTCCTGCATCCAGGGGGTGGAACCTGCTGCTCAGACAGGGTGGGGGGACACCCCGGGGACCTCACCCCCCCCCCAGCACTCAGATGGTGCCCATCTCCTCCCGACCTTCACTGCGAGGCTACACCCAGCACTGGCAACGACTTGCAGACAACAAGAAGGAAAGAATATTACCCTCAGAAACTAAATTTCAAACTTTAGGGCACCCTACAATCAATCATGATTTAATCCAAATATTCCCAGGAGCGGAAGGGCACAGAAAACATTAAAACTGGCATGCATCATACTCCAGGGAAGGCTTGAGCATTTGGAATACAATTGGTATTCAAAGCTGCGCGAGTCCTCTTCATTTCCTGTGAATAATTTTTAAAAAGTAGATACCTAACAATTTAAGGAACGAGTGTCCTTTGGACTAAACCTTAATTCTCAGTAAGAGGAAAGCAGATTAAAACCAGTAGGTATATACACACTAGCTGTATATTCACACACATTATGTAAAAGCAGCTTAAAATGCCCTTCTCACTTCGCAAGTCTATGAAATGTACGTTGTCTTTGCAATCTGTTTCCTACAAGGCCCTCGCTAGAAGAGGAATTTGCTGCCTTTTCTTTGAAGAAAAGATTTTGCATGAATTTTTTTTTCTCTCTCCTTTTTTGGCTTTTTTTTTTTTCTTTTTCTTTTTAAACACACTGTCCTGATAGTTATTCTGTTTCACAGGAGACTGGCCAGGCTGGTGGTGGGTCCGTTCTGTGCCTGGAACTGTACAGGAGGTGGTCCATCTGTCCACTGAAAGATAACAAACAGCATGAAAATCCTATGGCCGCTGCCTGGGGAGGGGAGGAATGGCAGCAAGGCCAGAGGAAGGAGCTCTTCGCTACCAGGAGATAAAGATTTCATCACGAGAAGCTGCGTATCAGGTTTGACTTTGTTTTACATGCATGGAGCTCCCATCATTCCAAACCTAGCTGACTCCTGTGCTGGATCCAGGGTCAATGGTGATCAAGTGAAAGCATTTCCTGCTCTTACAGGTAAACCTCTGACCATCCAGCTGTGGGAAACCATGACTTCCACCACCGAGGGACTAACTTTGGGTGGGTTTGATCCCATTGCGTGCTGCAGCTTTAGTGTTCCCAGAGCAAGTAAAGCCTCTGGTTCTCTCATTTCACTACTAGAACATTCTCCTCTCACACTGAGGGGGGAAAAAAAAAAAATCTTCTAAAATTGGCAGATTAATATTTGGGTTTTTAATCTTCTTCCCCCTCCAGGTTTTTAATCCATCATAGATTATGCCACAGCAAGCAAAGACAGGAAGGCGGGAGCGGTGGCTTGTGTCGCTGGGCCACACTGGGTGGAGGCAGGCACCTGGCCAGGGGGGTCAACACTGTCATCCTCACAAGTCTGGGCATCCCTTTGTGAGCAAAACCCGCAAATAGCATCTTCCTATTGGCCTTTTTCCCCCTTTCTTCTCTCCAAAAGGGAATGTTGGGTAGAAGACATCAAGTTCTTCGCAGCTCATGTTCCCATTTGGACATTATTTCGGTCCAGAACATTAAATTATGCCATTGCTGGGTTGCAGCTTAGGAAACCAATCTATATTTTAAAAACAGTGCTAAAAACATTTCTGACAGGAAGGCCATCAATATTTGAAGTAAGGAAGATGCACCTTAATGCCATGGTTACACAGACATCTGATGGTGTAACTGGAATATTTGAATTTATAGATAAGTAAAAAAAAGCCCCAAACCTTAGGAATGCTAAGGTATCAATAAAAATTGTGCTTTTAGCAGTGTACAAAGCACTCCCCAGAACAAGGCAGACTGGATGACTTCAACATTAAAATTAAATCTAAAAACACAGTAAGTTTGTTTCAAAGGCAATCGTTGTCAAAGTGGCTACCTGCTACAAAAAAAAAAACCCTTCTGGTTTACCAAGAAAACACTACTAAGAAACCAAGACCATGCCCCACCAAATAACCTTTATGAAAATTAACCTATTACACTCCCTTTTTCTGTTATCAGTCCAGTTTAAATACTAGGAAGTAGACTGAATTTGGGCAACTTACTGAAGCATGCTCAGGAGAAGGCAGGAAAGCAAAGTTTTGCCTTAAAAACCACTCATAAGTGCAAGATGGAGATGGCTTACCGTGATGAGATTGTGTTCTGGAAGACTGCACGCTTCGATGTGGTCCTGGAGGAGCTGCTGGGAGAAGTTTTGATGCATCTGTGCTGCCTCGTGTGCATCCATGGCGTTTCCACAGGCTTTGTTCAGGTCTGAAAGACAAGAGCATCGTGTGCTCACCAAGAAACACCGGCTCTGTTCTCAGCTGACCAGCTCTCTTACCTAGAGAGGCCCTTCCCTGTATTTGATGACGGAATCATTTAAACAGCCAATATACCAAAGTTTTATCACTGCTTTTAAGAGATTATCACCACTTTTGGAGCAGCAGGGGCATTAGAGAACCTCCCTTTTCCAACAGTGTGGCAGCGCATGTTGGAGGATTTGGTGTTAGTTTCCAACTATTAAAAATAACATTATGGTAGCTCTAAAAGGAGGAAGCAAGTGTCCCACTCCAATAAAAGCCCCTTTGCTGTTTGCATTTGGATTTTGAGTTTCCAGCACCATCTAGTGGGAACAGCAAAGCCTCACTGCTGCGGGATTCAGCAACACATTCAAGCAACACTTTTTGGTGAATCCTTACTTTCGGGGGACTACAGAAGCCTGCTGCTTTGCATACAATGAAAGCTGATCTTAGTATCTGGTTTTCTGTGAGATTTACTCACAGTTATCAGCTCAATCTGATTTAAGACTGGTAACCTACTAAAGAATCACCCAATTTCAGCTGTAAGTTCCAAGCAGCACAGTGCGTTGGGCTGGGACACTGCATCTACTATCGATGAACATGTGGTTGTATTTTGCTACTCCTCATCAAGCACCTTTTCTTCAAGAGTAGTTAATTAGTTCTATAGAAGAAGCTCTTGGGGGGAAAAAAAAAAAAAAGAAAAAGAAAAAAAAACAGAACGGGAACTGCCTCCTGCTGTTCCCAGGCTCGTGGATACGACTGGAGGCAACAGCAGCCGAACACGGGTGGTGGTTCATCTACAGCAGGCTCATCATTGTACTATCAGTGGGTTTTGTACGTCAACTACTACTTGGAAATGAGGAAGAGAAGTATTTCAATCGCCTGGAAGCGGTTTTGTAGCAAAGGCAACAGCAAAGCAGAAAATAAGCCTGGCCCACAGTGCTCAGCACAGAGCACTGTGCTTATAGTAAACATGACAATTTAATATAAATGGAAGCTGCGGGATAAGTTCTTGGAAAAAGGGTAGAGTTACTGCTTTATTTTCTAGTGAGAGCAAATCAATTGCAGCATTAATGTTGACGGTCTGCCAAGAAGCTAGTCAATATTTGAACAAAGCATCCTGGGGCCTGTGTAAGTCAGATTAAACAATATTTATGTATGAAGCAATATAATAGTCTCTTATATTTATTAGAGCCCATACACAGAAGCAAAGCCTAAGTGAAACTTAATCAAATGTTTACTCCAATTGGAAGTGCAGTCAGAGGGAAGCAGAGCAGCAGCAGAATGGATGCTGCAGGGGTGTGAGCCGCAGCCCTGCCCGAGTTCAGGTGTCTGCCTCGGGACCTGCCATCCAGCAGCCCCAGGAGAAACACGACGGCTGCTCACACCAGTCACACGGTGGTGGGGGGGTGCTCCAGGCCCTGCCCATCCCAGGTGTCTTACAGCCCCCCAAAAACCCCACCCAGAGCATCTGACAGCACTGCCAGAGCTGCACACCACTAACTGGAAGAACCACCTCGCACACTGAGCGGTGTTTGGCAAAGCCAGGCAGCGTTTCACTTCGCTCCCAGCAAGGCTGGCGGGGGCCTGCACCCCCCGACTCGATCCCCCACGAGCAGCAAACGGGCTCCTGGCCCTTTCTTTAAGTGCAAGGCCTCTCCCTAACTTACCTCTCAAGAGAGCCGAAGACCACAGCTGCACAGACATATCTGGTATCTTGCTTGCAAGCTGCATGGCTGGTACTACCATATTATTACTTTCCTGGTGAAGAGCAGATATCAAAATGGGTATTTCTTTTCCACCCCCTTGCGAATACACGTTACATAGAGATGTTAAATTTGAAAAGAAAAATTTGTCTAATAGCTGCCAGGTTCTAGCTAATGAGTAGAAGTGCTTAACAGGACACCACCACAAACACATCAAATCTAAAGCCGTCTGGAATTTTGCTCTGTCCTAGGAATTACGGTGTCTATGTTGTGCAAGATAACAGAAATATTTCATGCATTCTGACATAGGGTGAGAATTAAGGAGCTTGTACCCACAATTCCTCCCAAAACAATCCAGTTGAATGATGTTTTTTGTCCTTTATTCAGCTCCTTTGTTCAAGTGATTTCAGGCATTATAGAAACACACCCTTCTAGAATAGGCTTCGAACACTACTACTTTGTTAAAGCATTATTAAACATGCAAATTACAGCTACAGAATTATGTAAGTCAACAAGCTGCCAACTTTTAGCAGGATACCCATAAGCAAGCATTCTTAAAATATGATTAATTTCACAAAATGTCCCGATTTTCTCTGACAAACGACAAGTCAAACATTTACACGGTAATACCGGTGGCAGCGAAGGCTTACCCTGTGATTCCCTAACACATAGAATATATGACCCAGGAGTACGAGAGAACAGGCTGTTAATCGATTCAAGTCTTCTGCATTTGACATTTTCAGCGTCTCTCGCAAAAATCGTCTACCAAAACAGAGCAAGAAATAAAGCGGTTTAAAAACTCCAGTACCTAAGAAACATGATTAAGAACTGAATTAATCCCAACTGGCAAATATTAACACCTTGGAATAAACGTGTGCTGCAGGTGACCTTAAACAAAGCACTTTATTCCCAACCCTCACCTTTCATTTAGCAAAAAAAAAAAAAAAAAAAAA